AAAAAAGGACTTACGCATGAAAACCACTGAGCTCTAAAACATTACAGTGACAGGTAACAACAACAACAACAAAAAAATAAAGAGAGAGAGAGAGAAAGAGAGAGAGAGAGAGAGAGAGAGAGAGAGAGAGAGAGAAGAGAAACTACAGCAGTTGCAAGTACACAATCCAGGACACAGAAATCTTCAACAAACTTACTCTTAGCACTGAATTTGTTTTCTTTCCGAGGTCTGCCAGTTTTCTTCAAGCAGTTGTCACACACAAAACTGTACAACAAATAATGGGTGTGATCAGATTATAATCAACACTGAATGTTGCCAAACCAGTGAATTGGAGCACTGGAATACTATGTTGGAAGTTTAAATCACATCATTGTGAGGAGACAGACGGCTTTGATTCTACAATTTGTAAAGCACACAAACAGAAGATTTAAATTTAGAACCAACTGCCACCTCCCTTAATTGCTGAATTTTGCTGACAAGGAACAAGACTCAGCACCACAGCCACCCCCCCATGACTTGTGCACAGCTCCCCCTTCCCAGAGATCACAGCTTATCACTCACCCTGAAGGCCAAATGATGTCATAGTGTAGAACGCAAATCTGATGCATCTTCCGGCCACACTCTTTGCAGTCAACAAAACTGGGAGATAAGAAAGCACAATTATACACCCAAAGTCACACATCAACAGTTTTTGGCGGGAGCTTGAGTATATGGGCACACACTGTTGTCTGAGCTGTTTTTTAAGAGCTCTGATATCCAAGCATGTGCTGACTAATTCAGAAGTGTTTTACATGCTTACCTATGTTAATTTTCTTATCCAAGACACAGGACTCTACTCCTGCTTTTGTCCCCCCTTTTGAGTAAATGAGGTCTGGCCATGCAGTCCAGCCTGGCCTTGAACACATGATCCATGATCCTTCTTTGGTCTGCTGAGTGCTAAAATTAGAAGCCTGCACTGCCATTTCTGGATTTTCTCTCCTTTTTTGTACACTGTGCCATTTTCTTTTCTCCCCATTTCCTTTTGCAAACACAATGTCTCTCTCTCTCTCTCTCTCTCTCTCTCTCTCTCTGTGTGTGTGTGTGTGTGTGTGTGTAGGGCATATATGCACAAATGCAGGTGTATGTACAGAGGTAAGAAGACAGCTTTGTGGAGTCACTTCTCTCCTTCTACCTTTATTTGGATTCTTGGGAATAAAATCATATTGGCTTGTTTCCTCAGCAAGTGCCTTTACCACTGAGCAATCTTACTAGCCTATGAAACTTTAAAAAAAATTACTATGATAAGCTGAGTGGTGGTGGTGCATGCCTTTAATCCTAGCACTGGGGAGGCAGAGCCAGGCAGATCTCTGAGTTTGAGGCCAGCCTGGTCTACAAAGTGAATTCCAAGGCAGCCATTCTTGCATTCTGGGTTTTACACAGAGAAACCTTTTCTCAAAAAAAAAAAAAAAAAAAAGAGAGAGAGAGAGAGAGAGAGAAAGAAAAGAAAAACACCAAAACAACAACAAAAAAGTAAAAAGAAAAAAATTACCATGATAAAGGTAAATTCCATAGTCCAGTAATTCTAATGTTACTGTGCACTTTCAGGACCCATTCTTTATGTAATTTTCGTGTACTTAAATGGGCTCAGGAAACAGAATAGTAGTTTCAGTTTTATAAATACTCGCTCCTAATTTTCTGATTTTCCTCACCCTACCCTCCCAAGGCTACAAAAAGCAAAGTAGCTAGATGAAAGCAGCCTTACAGTCCCAAGGAACAGGAAACACCTGCTCCAAGTTAGTGACAGTTAGTCCAAGGCATCAATGGTAACAGAAAGTGGACAGGCTTCCCTGAATATACACTCAGTCTCCTAGAACTACTTCCACACTGCTCAGTTCAGCTATAGCCACTTACAAATGCATTTTATTACCAAGAGACTACTGGAATAGGAATTCTCAATACCAAGATATCCAGTGGTCAAACCTTTAGCTTTTTAGTTTACTGTGTCACTGCTACCAAAATCCACATTCCAGGAAAATTGAAGGCACCAAAAAGCATCCCAGTTTCCTGGGAGAGCCAAGCCCTTGATAATGACTGGCTGCTTCTTGTCCCATCATCCTGCTGCCACACCTGCTATATAAACATTCAGCCAGGGTATGTCCTAATCAGCCTACCTGCTGCTGTTCTCTTTAGAGAGGACACACGTGTAACATTGTGAAATGGGGAGTATGACTTGGTTTGGGCTACTAATTAATAGCCATGGTGGAGGTTCCCTCCCCACACTCTACCTGGTCATTTATGGCCTGCACTGCATTCTTCCAATGTTCATCCCATAATATCTGTACCTACAATCTCTGAAGTGTGCTTGGTTGGCCTCTGCTGAAATGAAAGGTCAAAACAGTGTAATTCCCACAATCTCTCTAAAGAGAACTTGTTCAGTTTTTCCCTCCATTGCCAGGAAAGGAAATATCAAGTATGTGCCTGTGATCCATTCCCCTTACTATGAAGCTTTCCACCTCACAGTATGGCCCCTCTTTTACCTCCAACAGTCCTACTTTAGTTGAGCCCTGACTTCCTGCCTAGGTTCTACCTAAATCTCGCAGGAGTTCCTAGAGATACTAAAGACTGAAATCATATGACTCATGTTCTCCACTCAAGGGTCTCGGTCTCTCTGTTTTCTTTATGAATATGATCTCACTAAATAGCCCAGCTGGCCTTGAGTTAGTTATCGTGCCCCAGCTTCTCAACTATTGGGAATTTAGGGGAGTACCATCACACCCTGCTGCAGAGGTTCACTTTCTACACTAGACTCAAAGTTGCTCTTCAAAACTTACCCAGCCGGGTAGTGGTGGTACCCACCTTCATTCCCAGCATTTTGGAGGCAGAGGCATCAGATCTCTGTGAGTTTGAGGCCAGACTGGTCTATAGAGTGAGTTCCAGGACAGCCAGAGCTGTTACACAGAGAAACCCTCCAAAAACAAAACAAAACAAAACAAAAAACCCCCAAAAAACAAACAAACTTACCCAGTATAGATTGAATGGTATAAATGTCAAACAGGTTAAATTTATTAAATGTCCCTGCTACTACATCACATGGGAGTGGACCTTTACTCTCTGGCCTGACTGGCCAATCATTCCCATGATGTGTTTTGAGTATCTTGTGTTCTTTCCTTCCTTTATGCTCAAAATGCAATGACACTCTCTCCAACACATGCTTTTTGATAAGATTCACCAACTCTAAGAAGCCCACCCCAATGGTAATGCTGTTGTGCTCATGCTAAAAGCTCTCACCTATGGAACCATGCACACCGTGCCTCCTACTGCCTGCACTCATCTGCTGCTGCAAAAAAAAATCCCTTAAAACCCACAGAAGGGAGCTGGAGAGATGGCTCAGTAATGAAGAACACTGGACCTGAGTACACCTCCCAACAAACATGGCAATTCAGTCATTTATAACTCTAGTTTAGGAAGATCTAACCTATTCTGGCCTCTGGGTTATCAGGCACACATGTCCTGTATATAGATACATTTAGGCAAACTCTGATACATATAAATAAAACAGAGGAGGGGGGACAGACGGATGGATGGACAGACGGACATATGTACCAGCATTCATTATTTAATGTAATCCTGTCCCTAGGTATCAGATAGGACAGAAGAAGTAACTTTCCCAAAGAAAAGCTGGATCTCCAAATGTTACCTGGGAGGGAAGTCAGTATCTTCCATTATAGCAGTTTACCTCTCTGAAACTAGGATATTTGGGGCCAAGAGATCAAAGCAAAACTGAGAGACCCGTCCTAAGCTTTAAAAGCCAACTTTGAAATTGAAGCATTCTCAAGAACAAGGGCAGTGTTAAGAACCACACTATATTTGACAGAACAGATTTTTTTAAAAAGTGGTTTTTAAGATGTTTTCATTTTAGACTCTCTCTGGGAAAATATCAGCACTTCAAGCAACTGCCTGTATTCTTCGTAGAATCATACTTAACAGTCCTTAAAGATGCCATGACCAAACTTTAGAGAAGTTCCAATGGCACCGAAATACCACAGTCATGTGTCTTCCCTCCTTCCTTCCTTCCTTCCTTCCTTCCTTCCTTCCTTCCTTCCTTCCTTCCTTCCCTTGGCTTTTCAAGGCAGGGTTTCTCAGTGTGGCCCTGGCTGTTTTAGAACTCCCTCTGTGGGGCACCACCACTGCCAGGCTCATCCACATGTTTATGGACATGAGTATTCTATCTACAAGTGTGCTTTTATGCTAAAGAGGGCATCAGACCCACTATACATGCTATGAGCAACCTCATGGTTGCTGAGAACTGAACTTGGGACCTCTGGAAAAGCAGTGCTCTTAACTACTGAGCCGCCTTTCCAGCCCTTTACCCATATAATTTTATCACTATTAACATCCAGTAACTGGAGAATGTGTTACAAAGACCTTTATTTTGAGTTTAGATAACTTCCCATAAGAAACACTTTTATTATTCTCCTATAATCTAATCACAAGAAATAAATTCCCCCATCTAAAAATCTAAGAAAAAAGAGCCATGTATAGTGACATACACCTTTAACACCAGCACTTGGGAGGCAGAGGTAGGCAGGTGTCTGTGAGTTTAGGACAGCCAGGTCTACACAGAGAGAACCTGTTTCAAAAACAAACGAACAAAGAAAAGAAAGGAAGGAAGGGAGGAAAAGAAAGTTACACATATATATGTATGTATATATACTCACGGTTCAGGATCTAAGGTATCATTTTTCTTCTTTTCAAACTGATCCTTGGAAATCGTCCTTATTTAAAAGAAAAAAAAAATAATCGACTCACATATACTTCTCTACCAATTTTTTTCTTAAAATATTGTCCCAAACTACTATAAATAAATATGTTTGCCTTTATAAGACTTAATTCAGATTATGATGGCAAAATTGTGTTGAGATTTAAATATGTTTATTTTCAGTCAAGTTCATATGGTGAATAGCTACTGAACTGGACATTGTTTAAGATCAGAGCTGAATGCCAACACATCCTCAATGAAAGGTGAGAATCCACCAAGGATTCCCACTGTGGAAGGCTGGAGTATTTGGGTTTCAATCCATGCATATGTGAATTACTTCTAACACATAGAATTATATAACTTTTTGTTACGGTTTCTTTAAAGAAAAGAAAAAAAAGCACTTACATATTGTGTGTGTGAGAGAGCATGTGTGGAAACATATGTCACAGTGCTCCTGTGGAGACCAGAGCACAACTCTATCAAGTTGTTTCTCTCCTTCCACCTTCATGTGGGTTGCCAGGTTTGCAATGAAAGTGCCTGTACCTATCGATCCATTTCACTGGTCCCTTTCTGTATCTTTTGTTTTTAATCTAAGTGACATACAAAAACTTTAAAAAGCTGCACATATTAATGGTATACCACATATCTGATCCTTGCGCACACTGCATAATGCTTAAACTAGGCTAACCATACTAACCACCTCCAACACTTACCTTTTGGAGGGGGGTACAAAAAAAACTTTCAAAATCCTTCCTTCTAGCTTTTTGTAAAGTACAGTATATAATTGTTATTGACAGTCACCATACTGTGAAAGAGCAACCCACATTTGCTGATATCTAACTGAACCTTAGCATTTATTGATTAGCTTCTTCTATCCCTGTGCCCTACAAGTCAATGATTAACTTCAATTAGATCAAAGAGTTAAGATGACAAGGGTAATAAAATCATTTCTGGAGCACGACTTTCCTGCCTGTGAGACGTAGTAACTCTGGGGCCAGAAGCATGGAAGACTGAGGGACTCGGTGTGCAGAAAGGGAAACAGGCTAGGGAAGATGTGCAGGTCAGCACGCCTTTGGGCATTTTACAAATATAAATGAACTAAGTACCTATTGTGATTTTCATTTCTCCTGCTGTGGTCTGGTTATGCTGCCACTCAAAAGGAACTTCATCAGAAGACAAGCAGGGATATGCAGGAATAAATTAACAGGCATGCTGGACCCAGCTGGGGAGCAAGAGTCAGACCACCAGCAAGAAATGATTGATATTTTTATGTTATATTGGAATGTGGATAGAGGATTGGAATCTAACCTTTAGAAGCTCAGTCACTTAAAAGATAAAGGTTGAAAAGGTAAAGATTTTTGTTGTTAAATTTATAGAAAAATTATTTTATTTATTTTTATGTGCACTAGTATATTGTCTGCATGTATGTCTGTGTGAGGGTGTTGATGCCCTGGAACTGGAGTTACAGATAGTTGTAAACTTCCACGTAGGTGCTGGGAATTGAACCCAGGCATTCTGGAAGAGCAGACAGTGTTCTTAAACTCTGAGCCACCTTTCCAGGCTCCCCAAACTCATCTCTGTAAGTCATAACCTTAAGCTTTCACTCCTTCCCAAAGTCTCATGGATAGTTCATAATGTAAAATCCAGCTTGTTTTTTTTTAAAGGGCGGTTCTGTTGGTGTTGATATGTACACAAAGCTCATTTTCTGTGGATAAGGCTATCTGGCTTCTTAGGTGTAAATGAAGTTAGAATTTTCAATTGAAAATTTACCCACCACCACCACGAAGAAAGCTATTTGTTAGTGAAATGTACAAGGTCAAGAATTGAATGATTCCTGTCTGGAATGGAATAACATGGAGAACTAGTGTTGCTATTTGGGTGACACCTATATCTTTAAGTATAAATATCTATGTCCGTGCAACCATGTTTCCATTAAATGTGGGTATAGTTAATATGTGAAGAAAAAACACAAATTGCACAAAACTCAAAATGGCACATTCTGGATTCTTCTTTAGTGATGAACTCAAGGAAGTATGGCAAGATTGTACTTACGTCTGAGGTTGGGAAGGGTCGTCACCCAGGGTCACATTCTCGCCCTGGATCTCTGTGAAACACTTCTCACAGAAATGATACCTGTCAGCAAGAAGGCCATACTTGGGTGAACTGGTCCATCACAACATACAGCCACCCAAGCAACGAAGCCACCAATCAGAGCAGGGCAGAGCACCACGACGAAGGGGGGGCGTTGTTGGTTGATTGATGGGTCAGTGAGGACAATGAAAGGAACAGGGGGGTAGGTGGGGAAGGGCAGAATTAGAGAACAGGGAAGGGAACAAATAGCACAGACACAGAGGTAAGACGCAAACACCAGACAACACAAAGCAGAAAGCCAAGGCAAAGCATTGATTAGCATTCGGTCTCATTGCACGCATCATAGGCCATCATCACTAACAACGACAGGTTTGGTCCGGCTCCAAGATGCAAATGCTTTCAAGGAGTTAATACTAGGATTGCATGGAGCCTAAATTTAGAAATCTGAATTTTGTTATAAAATCAAATATTGAGCCAGGATTTAAAATAGAAAATTTTACTTTGAACAACAGTATAAGAAAAAAGCCTTTAAAAAGCAAGTTAAACTGGAATAGCTTCATTTTCAAAATGGAAATTTTATGCTTGATAGCATCAGAGGTTTTATTTCCAGTGTTAAGCCAGATCTTCCAATGTGTGACAATGCTGAGCACCCAGAAACATTTTTTGTTGTTGCTGTTTATTCGTTATTTTCTCAAGTTAATCACTGTTAATAATAATTGTGTTATAATACAAATGAAACCAAATCCATATTCTAGACAAACACTTAACGGAAATGCAGTCAGGGTCAAAGACTTTCCAGCCATTTATTAATAAGAATATTCAGAGAAAAGTTGTGATATATTGTATAAACAATACAATATATGCAAACCCACAAACAATTTTTGAAGCTTTGGTTCACTTCTAAGCTGTGATTTGAATTTTGGTACTGGGACCAATCATTCATGAGATACAAGGTGAATGACTGTTCTGACTTGGTATCAACCCAAGTTAAGCAAATTTAGAGAGTTAATCTTTAAGTAGCACAATCTGCATTTGAAAAATTATTCATCATCCCAATTTCTTGTGTGATAATAATAGAGAGCCTGGGCTCATGCTGTTAAGTGACAACAATTAAAATAAAGACTATTAAATGTTTGGAAAGGACACGAATGAGAAGTTAACAAAAAGGCGGATTCTGCATAAAACAAGATGAGCACACAAAAATACTATAAAATAAACAAGCTGAATGGAGATAAATTACACAGGCAAATAGATGAGCATAAGCTAGCAGCAGCAGTACAATAAAATGCGGTTTAGTGCTCAAAACTACATCTACAAGATACCAAGAAGGATTAGTATTAGGGACACTGATGAGACTTGGGACACGGGCTGAACCCCAGTGCAGAGGAAGAGGTAGTAACTATGCTCTCACTCACTTGCTCACTCATCACTCACTCCCATGCTCATTCATTCACTCACACAGCTACAGAATGAGACATGAGGCATAAGGAAAGGCCCCCACAAGTCCCAGTTTTCATCTTCATTAGAACATTGAGCATTTTGTCCACAGATTTCACTAAATGACACATACAACCAATTTAAAGCATCAAACTTCATTCAAAGCATTCGTAACATTTCCAGTTTATCCAATTTTTCACATTCTGTTGATAAACAGGGCAAATTCACTGTAGATGATGACTAGACTAATAATAGTTTCTTGCCAGGACAAGAATAAAAATTGACTACAAACAGTTTTGAATGAACCATAGTAATGCCCTTGCCTTTCACTATTTTGTCAATAATTCTTATAGAGACTTAAAAAAACAATCTTCCACATACAGCAGGGCATGGCACAAGCAGACATACCCTCAAGACAAGAACATACACAACTGGGGGCCAGCAAGAACTGCTATACAATTTTAAATAAAACCACCACAATCACAAGTGAGTCTCAGTGACTTTAAGAACTTCGAAAAACTCAGCATTTTCAGTCAGTATTAAAGCCTCACAACATGCAGGACATATGTTTCTAGTGGCGGGGACTAATGCACTGGCAGTGAAAATTACAGACAATCAAGCTGTTCATTAAAAAGGTGAGAGGACAGGGCCCATAACCTCACTTCATCAACCTTCACTGAGATGAAGACACTGATGAAACAAGTCAAGTCCTCGATAACAGACGTGATGTAGACGATCTTACTATGACAAACTCTACATTTATTCTCCCTAAAAATAAAGGTTCAGAAGTTCACTTCTTCACCCTTAACAGCCTGGATAACATTTTGTCTTGTGTGAAGGAAGTAGTGTGATGAATATGGAACTGTGAAGGAGAAATACTTCATGTAATCTGATGATAGTGCAAATCTGGGTTGCTAAGTTAGTACATGTAACTATATGATTTAGCTGTTTAATGCATGATCTTTTCAAATGCAGATTGTTTTAAGTACTCTATCAGCATTTACAAACTGAGATATCAATAGATAAATTCTACATTATCTTCAGATAATTATTGGAAAAGCTGTAACACTTTCCTAAAAGTGAGTTACATTCAAATTTTAAACGTGTAGAAACAAGTGAAAATGTAAGCACACACTAACATAAACATTAAAAATTTCACTTGTTTAAATGGCCTGTAGAATGTTTTACTGATTTAAGGGAGAACAACTATATATTGAAACACAATAGTGTTCATAGTCAATTTAAAAACAAAAGATAAACAATCAAATGTTTATTGTTGAATTTGGCGACTGCTTTCTTAGGATTACAGGGTATTAATAATCAATTCATATGCTTTTCTAAGAACAGAGGGTACAAAGCTTCTGAATTTATCAGACATAGGATACAACTCCTATACTTTGATTTTAATTCAAGAAAAATCACTTTTGTTTAGTGGAGTTTTACACAAAAATAAAATTGGGCATTTCAGGACTTCCAGAGTAGACCTGGTGTTTGTCCTCTATCACTAAACTTTCCTGACCTACCAGTTTAAGTTATCTTTAATTACTCTCAGTGGATGGGCCCAGATCTGTGTGAGTGATCACAAGCAGAGTCCCTAAGCACCCAGGAACAATGCAAAGGTCCAAACACTTAAGAGACAGTGGGCAGTATCATGTTTTCCTACCTGACCAAAATTGTGTATCAGGCACAGTATTTTTTTTAAGGCATAATTAATATTAATCCATACAATCTTGTAACTCTAGAAGTCAGGTGCTGTGGCAAGCAGATCAAGTTTGAGGCCAGTTGCGCTACAGTGAGACCCTGTCTCAACAACAACAACAACAACAAACAACAACAACAACGCAAAAAAAACCAACCAACCAAAAACCAAACCAAACCAAACCAAAACCAACCAGCCAAATAAACAAACTTACAACTTTATATAGATCACAATGGTATTCAAAGTACATTTCTATGCATTATTCCATTTAAGTCAGGACAAGAGCCTGTTAGGGAAGATACTATTGGGTCTGTACCTAAGGCAAGGTTAAGTTTCATACAAAATGAGATGTGCTAAGAGTGAAAGGGCTAAAAGAATAAATGGAGGGGACAACTCCTGCATAATACATGGTCACTCTGAGAGGATCCCACTATGAGGGTCTATCCTTTCAATTTTGTCTTACAATATTTCTACTGAAAGGTTGAGGGTAACAGACAGAGCATAATCATTGTCCTGGATTCTATCGATAGCACTAACAGCAGCAAACAGTATCACAGATCACAAAACCAAACACCTTGACAACCCCCGCCATCACAAATCCCTTCTATTTAAGAGAATGGGAGTGTTTAGATAGAAATTAAACTATGATGTTGTTTTTAGCAAGACAGGTTGTTCAGGCTGCACTTCTACTAAGAGATGACCCTAAGCCAGGGTAAAGAACAGTAGACTGATCGCACAAGGCTCAGGAGGCTTCCTTTTTGATTTTTTTTAAAAATGTATTTATTTGTGTGCACATACATGCGTGTGGAGATCAGATGGCAACTTGAGGGAGCCAGTAGTCTTCTTTTATCATGTAGACCCAGAGATCAAACTCTGGTCATCAAGCTGACAACAAATGCCATCTTGTCAGCCATCAAGTTCTTCTTATGGAAAAAAAATAGCATTTGTATAGGAGCTCTTATGAAGATAGTTATATTTTCTTTTAAAATTATAAGTATAACTAAAAAAAAAATACTTAAGAAAAAAATTTCAAAATTCCAAATTTGTCAGGCCTATGTAAATGTACCCCTGAACAAGTCAACAGCCCTGCTTTGACTTTATTATGGCCCAAATAAGAAAATGTCTAACTATTTCAAGCACCAAACCCTGATGAAAACCCTCAGGCCTAAGACAGAGAACAAGTGCAAAGCTTGTTGGTCACACAGAGGCTCTTGCTGCTGGCTCACTTACACTGACTTTAGTGTAAGTCATAGTTTCAAGGTCTCATAACACAACTGACAAAAGGGAATTTAATTTTTACTTCATCTTAGCAAAAAAGCAAGTAAGCATTTAGGAATTTAATTTTCAAAACAAGTCTCAAACTATAAAAGTTATTTGTGTATTATGCATTTGCTGTAGAATAAAATGCAAGTTTCTATTTTCTGAATAGAATCTTAAAAGTCATTCAGGCTTTTCAAAGGTTAGTCTCAACTTTGGTCTCTTGGCTACAGTGTCATATTTCAGGTAATTACTATTGAGCTACAACTCAACTCAGGGTAATATGATTTTTTATTATAAAAACATGCTGCTACTTTTTTTTTTTTTGAGACAGGGTCTCTCTACATAACTCTGGCTGTCCTGGAACTCACCTTGTAGACCAGGTTGGCCTCAAACTGAGAGACCTGCCCACCTCTGCCTTCAAGTGATAGGATTAAAAGTCTGTGCTACCACGGTCAGCATATGTTATGTTTTAAAATCAGGAGACCAAGGAGCTACCTGACCAACCAAGAGGTACAGAAATTTTGGTACCTTTAATAGGAATTCGGGACATAAATAACATGTCCAGGCTATGATCAAATGCACAATCCTTGTCTTAACACCTTCCTTTGCTCTGGAATACAGGGACCTGCATGGTGCTTACCTATTCTGATAGCTGTAGTAGGCTGCATCGCGAGGAATTGTGCACAGCTACTTCCCATAACAGCACAAAGTCTGTGGGGAAAACTCATACTGCAAAAACAAGGAGAAAATACTAAACATATATTCTATTACCACCCTCAAGTATTCTAGCATGCTATGAAGTCACACGGAGTTGTTAAGTTACTAACTAGAACACAAGGTAAAATTCTAACAATGTTCATAGCTACTTCAAGACACTTTTGAACTTAATATGACAAAATTGGAATATCTTTGGTTTCACATATTTCACACAGATACAATGGGCACAGGGCAGTGAGAAAGGCCTGCCAGTGAGTACCTCTCACTTTGACCATGGCATCATGTCAAACTACACTATACCCTAGAGCTTCTGAGCACATGTGTATAGTCAGAATCTTAGCGTAACACCACTTTGGCCAGATTAACCAGAAAAGTTTGTTTCCCAGAAATATATACCTTTCGTCCACAGCAATATCCGAGAGACTGCATAACAGGGTCAATTTCTTGCTCAAAGACTTCTGCAAGTTTACTGCAAAATTTATACACCCGGGATGTCTTTCGATTATATAGCCAAGCATTGTTGAACATAAGCCAGACATCATCCACATACTGCCAGGGTTCTTGGTACTGCCCTGTATCCAGCTTCCGTTTGATGGTAGAAAGGTCCATAGGATTCTTCACAATATCAAAATAATCCTAAAAATAAGTCAAATCTGTGAGTGAATCCCCTAAGTTGTACAATAAAAGGATCAGACATTCTGTTCCCAAGAATGAGAAATGGAAGTAAAAAGAAAATAATCCCAAATATTTCTCTGATTTGACTCACTCAATATGGTAACTGGTATGTGCAAGTGTGATTAAATTACTGCAAAGGCAAAGTTAAAAAAACAAAATTCAAGGGATTATTAGAACATAACTTTAATGAAAAAGAGGATTTTAATTTACTGAATAAAACTGGTGAATAAATTCATCAGAAAATGTATACTTCTACAGATTCCCTTTGGTTTATATAAACAACATGCAATTTAATGATTAACACAAACACCAACCTCAAAAGATATGGCCTTTCCAAGTCTCTCAGGGATATCAAATGGGCATTTAAATTTTTAAATTTTTTTTTTTTTTTTTGCTTTTTCGAGACAGGGTTTCTCTGTGGCTTTGGAGGCTGTCCTGGAACTAGCTCTTGTAGACAAGGCTGGTCTCGAACTCAGAGAGATCCACCTGCCTCTGCCTCACGAGTGCTGGGATTAAAGGTGTGCGCCACCAACGCCTGGCTGGCATTTTAATTTTTTAAGCCAATTTTACATACACTTGTACACAAAGCCTCAAATATAAAGGGGCTCTGTGCTAAAGCAAGTGGGCTGAGCACCAAATGCTTCTGTTCCACCAATAACTGCTGACAGACACAATTTTTATATTAGCGGAAATCCTCAAAGCAAGGTAATAACCGATTTTAAGAGATGAAACAACAGATACCCAAAGTTATAACCCATCTTTCATATTAACTTACTGGGATTCCTAGGAGCTGGGGATCTACAGGTTGCCGAAAAGGTAAAGACTCTGGGTCCTGTCTGTAGAGTGCTTCTAGAGTTGGCATAAGTGCCTGGCGTAGCTCCTCGGGTTTAAAGACTAGAGGGAGAAAACATCAGGAAGAGAAATTACATAATGGGTGCTCAGACACATCTAATATCACATCCAAGCTACAAGTCCAGTAGCTTCTACTTCCCAGCCACAATTCTTTCCAACATTCACCATAGTAAGAACCCTTGAACTAGAGGTCCAAGTTGGGGTTTCTGAACATAGTAAAGTGGCCTTTAAATATGACACTCAGACCATGAGACAAAATACAGCATGTAGGAGTTTGTTTTAATAAAAATTCCCAATCTTCAAATATTGCTGTTAATTTTCAATTCTGCTACCCTGATGAAACTGGGCAGTAAATAAAGCCATTTCATTGCAGGGGCCTTTTATGAATTCTCTGGTGATGCTTTTCTATCCTTGGCTTAGTTAAATTCAACTCACTTGAAATAAACTATCTGTTGCACCCTCATATACAAATGTAAAAAATAACTACAAAAACAGTAAATTTCTAAAAGTTCCATAGTGTTTCTCCAACATTTGTCAGTGCCCACTGCCCTCACCTCTTAGCCATCACAATTCCTACTACCTATTCTGTTTATTGCCATTGTGCCTTTAATTCCAGGGCAAGAGGACTGACTGCTTTGAGTTCCAGGCCAGCTTGGGCTATGGAGCCAGACCCTGTCTCAAAGGAAGTAGCCAGCCCCCCAAAAAACCAAACAAACAAACAACAAAAAACTAAAAGTAAATAAATAAAATGGCTGTCAAATACTTTCAAGACAGGCCAGTCTTAAGAAGAAAATAAGAAATCCTACTCTAATCCTTAGGGTGGAGGTCAGTGTGTCATAACCCTTGGCTTTTCTTCCACAAAGAAACCTGAACAGACAAAAGTGTATCAAAACAGATCTGATGACTGGTGTTACAAATGATCCAAACTTTGTGGGTCTTTTTTTGTATTTTACTGTCTGTGGTGTCAAATGCCTTTAATACTAGCATTTGTTTTCGGGTGTGTGTGGGAGGGAGGGGGGATGGGAGAGCAAATGGATCTCTGTGAATTTTAAGGTTGGTTCCAAGCCAGGCTATACCAACCAAGCATAGTGAGATAAAGTAACAGTTGTGCCATGGCATATATCTGCTGTCACTTCTGTTAGGGGGTCTAACTTGGATTTTACCTGTTTATTTTTTCACATGAAAGTTTAAAGGTTAAGAAAGAAATTCAACTTAACATCCTTACTTTAAGCATGTCAACAGATGCACCAAGGTTCACCATAATTTATCCCCGCTAGAGCAGGGAAACATCAGGTCTCCTGAGCACCTTGTGACAGACACTGCCTTTTCTGCAGGACACCTGACTACTCTGGCCCTTGTAGTACTGGCTCAGGGTCTAGATGAGCAGAGAAGACTCCCTATTATAACATCTCCAGGACTCAGCAACACAAAGATCCACTCAAGCATACAGACATATTCCTAGTAGCCTTGTAAATAAATGAACATTCTTGCTTTATTTCTGCTAACTTCATTCTTCTGCTTATAAAACAGTTACAAAGGAGCATCTGGTTGGTTTTTTTTTTTTTTTTTTTGGGTATGTGTTTTTATCTTCTGAGACAGGGACTCAGTATGCATAGGTTAGAATTGACTACATAGCCCAGGTTGGCTTTGAACTCATTATTCTACTGCCAGTCTCTGCAAATGCCAGGATTATGGGCTTGTGCCACAATGCCTAACTATATCCGGTATCCTAGAGAAATATGGTGTTTCATGTGTTTGTTTCAGGTGTTGTGTGTGTATGTGTGTGCATGTGGAGGACCAAAGCTGATTTCTTGATTGTTCTTCACCTTATTCATCACATTAGGATCTCTTTACGCAGAGCTTGTAGGAAAGGCTAGTCTAGCCAGCTAGCATGTTCCAGGAAACCCCTTGTCTCTTCTATTTCCTGAGCACTAGAATCATAAGTAAGCTAGCACAGCTTCTGTGGAGTCTGGGAGTACTGAACTCTTGTCCCAATGCCTGTTGCATGTGCAATCTCCAAAGCCCCTTAAATAATTCTTTATAAGAAAACATTTCATTAAAAGCTTTTTCATTCCAAAAGATAAGGGAATGATAAATTATGATCAAAATTTCTACTTTCTATTAGTCAAGGTCTCAAAATGATCTTTACCTTTTTTAATGACCAGACATATGAAAAGCAAATAAAATTCAAGTTTTAGTCTCAAAAAAGGAAGCTTTTATTGCCACACAGCCATGTTCATTTATTTGTATAAAATCTGCTGCTGCCTTTGAAGAGATTATTTTTAACAGAGACCTTAGGATATATGAAGATTGAAATACTAAAAGGCATGCTTGACAGGATATGCTCTACTTCCTAATTTGGGAGATCTAGTCCAAATAATCAAAAACCCTCTGGAACCCTAAATTATAAAAGAAGGTTTTTCCTACTTTGGATCTTTACTGCCTCAGCCACCAACATTCTCTACACTCTTTCTCAAATGTGCCTGTCACCTGATGCTGTTAACTTCCAATGTCCAGGTCACCAGGTTAACCAAGGGTCACTTGACAATCTTCCAACACCCTATTGCTTCTTACTGTGGACACATCTTAAATGGAGCACACCTAATTTTTACTTGTCCTGAGCTAACCTGGAACATCTGAAACTTCATATTCCCACTCCACGCCATGTCACAGCAGCTATACTCCCTACATCAGCAGAAATCTCTAGTTCACACACACATGTAGTGATAGCACAAACATGCTGACAGTGATCACTGTTCATCAGGTTTTTGTTTGTTGGTTGGTTTTTGGTTTGTTTTTTTGTTTTTTCAGGACAGGGTTTCTCTGAGGCTTTGGAGGCTGTCCTGGAACTAGTTCTTGTAGACAAGGCTGGTCTCAAACCAGATCTGCCTGCCACTGCCTCCCTAGTGCTGGGACTAAAAGCGTGGGCCACCACTGCCTGGCTTATCAGTTCTTTATACCTGAGACAACTCATGGCTGATCACTCAGCAACAGTCTGTTGTTCTCATTTCCATATATATATATGTCCTTGAGTGTGTGCAGTGTGCACACTTCTGAATGCATTCATGTAGGCCAGGAGGACAACTGGTATCCTGCCTCATTCCTTTAATAAGTCTTATACTGAACCTGTAGTTAGCTGGTGGCAGGCAAGCCCTTCCTGTCTCTGCCACCTACAGTGCTTGGGTTACAGATGCACAGGTACAGCCACACCCAGCCTTTTACTCAAGCCCAGAAAACTCCCTTACAACTGAACCTCAGCAGCCCCTGCTGTCTCCATTCTCAAAAGTAAAACTTAGAAAATGGCAAACAAGGAACACAAAGTGGAATTTGTAATCATTTTCCTGTCTCAGCTTTCAGTCTTTGGTGTGGAAGCACAACACATTCCCTCCGTTACAGAAAATGTGACCTACTTTTTTTGCGTGGCTGGGAAGGGGATGTTGACTGTGAGGCTGTGCCATTAGCACTGCTTTCCTCTTCCTCTTTAGTTTCCACTTTTACTTCGGGTTTCTTTTCTTCTACTTCCATTGGTTCTGACTTCTGCTCTGCTGTGTCTGTTTCTTCTTTTACTTGGGAAGACCCTTGTAAATCCTCTTCCATCATCTTGAGAAAAACAGAGTCACAAAAGACAGATAAATGTCAGACTTACAACCTAGTTGAGCTTTACTCTTAAAGTCTCTTTGCACACACAGGCTTGCTAAGTGTTCCCTTAGTTAAAGGTACATGTACTATTCCCCCCCTCAGTCCCCCAATAGGGAAAGGAACAAAATACAGCACGGGTTGCAATCACAGTTCTAATTAAAAACTTTTCCAAAATAAAAGTATGTTTACATGGCTCAGTAAAACATTGATACATCTAGTTCGGAAGTAAAAGAATCTTAGAAAATTGAAACAAAGATGAAAATCCTACACTCTGAAATAGTAGGATATGATACTTGGACTAACTGGAAAGAAAACGTCCTACCCGAGGGACACAACATTGCACATTAGGTAAGACACTGGCAAGACATAAAGGAGTGTAAGTGTACTGATGACAGAGTTGCTCATCTTTTGAGAGGTATCAGGTATCTAAGGTTTTATTTGCAACTTTCTGATTTTTGAAATAACAAGCAGAGCAGGCCAAACAAAACCACAAATTCAAAGGCTGGATGCAGCTCTTGGCCCCTGATTTCAACTTCTGCCATCAGTTAGTAAATGAATATATCACCCTTTCTGTGAAGAACTAGAAATGAATGAAGAATATCAACAAAAAGATTTCTAGAAAATTCAAAGATGAACATCCAGGATATGTAGGTGAAGCTAGCACATACAAGCCATGTACTGCCACCTAGGGAACAACATCTACCTCAGACCGAGGTTCCCCCTTGGATTCACCAGGATCAGGCTCAGCATCATCTGTCTGAACTTCTGTCTTCATTTCCAGCATGGGTACCTCAGGTCCTGGCTGCTGGGAACCGGTTTCAGCACTGGTCACAGAGGAGGGAGTGGGGACCCTATTATCAATGCTGGCTGCTGCCTGAGAGAGCTGCAAAGAGATCATAATCATTGTTCGCTGTAAAGCAGGTAACATCGATGGCCTTCAGCTCCTGCCCTTCTGTATTTCTCTGTACAACCTCAGCACCTAGTAGAAACACTAAATGACAGAAGCTCCCAGAAGGAGCTCTGAGGAAGTCACTTCCAGAAACACAGTTTACTCCTAACCAAAAAAACCAGAGCTAAAAGAACAGTTTTCTAAATTCTAACATGAAATTATTCTCTCTTGGCTTTCTATTGGATTATTTTACCATTACTTCCCTTCACTAGCATTCAGGCTTATGGAGAAAGGCAAACTATAAACACCTAAACAGTTATTAAGAGACTGGGAAGTAATGGCCTATGTGAAGCAGAATATCCAACAAGCCTGTGTTAATGCAGAACAGTGATGGTGGTGGGGTATTCAAACACTCCATGGCCATGGAACAGACTTTACCCAATGAAGTACTACATAAACTAATAAAGGAGATAAAAAGATTAACAAATCTTTTACAAGAAATGTTTTTTGAGGATATAGGGTGCAGTCAGTGGCAGAGTGCTTGCCTAGTGTTTGCAAGGCCCTGATTCGAAAACAGGAAACATAACTTATTTAGAGATAAAATGCACAGTCAGAATAAGCATGAGAAGGCAAAATAATAATGCCATCTTTGGAACTGTCATTGATTTTGTCATTCTACAAATATCATGAGTAAGAATGAAATTAATGCAAATCTGGGAGGAGGGGATCTATAAGTTAGACTTAAGAAAACAATACTAAGATTTCTGTATTTCTAGAAAGGCACTTGGCTAGGCACTGGCCAGTAGGCCTGGGATGACACAGGACACATCTCCCATCCTTCCAATGCCACCTACATAGAGGAATGGGCTGTTTAGTGCCACAGAAGGTACAAGACTCGCTCTGCTGTTTCATTATGAATAAGAAAAGTTTCCTATCTGAAAGAAGGCTGATTAACCAGGTTGGCGGACCTATAGTTTGGAGCGTAGCATTTTACCAAAACTACAACACTAAGAACAAAAACTATTAAAACCTGGACAATATTAATCTAGGACAGAAAATAGGGAAAATAATTGTTGCACATACAGTATAAGAGTTCTATCTATGTTGTGATATATCAATGACTATTAATTTCTGTAAACTACTTTAACCAAGGGTAATTGTAAGGCATGCCTTTAGGGACAATAGGAGAAACAAAATAGCTCCTTGCAGTTCCATTAGGGGACACACACATACATTTTAGCATTAAGGCAAAATGTTACAGCATCCTGAGAGAGTTCTGGTTTCTCTGTCTCTGTCTCTGTCCTTCCCTCCTTTTTCTTTAAAGAAAAGGTCTTACTTTGTAGCTCTGGCTAACCTCATGCTTACAAAGATTGCCTGCCTCTCTGTTCCAAGTGCCTGACAGAACATTCTTATGAGAAGGTAGCTTTAAGAGTTTGGCTTGATAATGACAGACTGAAAGAGGCTCACCGGTGTGCCAGGAGGCTGAGTGTGCACAGGTGTTGGTTGCTGCTGTGATGACTGGGGGGTAGCCACAGATGGTGGCTGCACTGGGGTTTGAGGCTGTGGAGTCACCTGGGCCTGTGCTGCTGCTTGGACCGTAGGGGTACTCTGTGTTTGGGCAGCACTGGGCACTGAGCCAGGAGTTGGGGTAGGGGTCTGCCCGGATGACACAGGAGTAGATGGCTGAGTGGGAGCTGCTGGCTGGGGAGGTGTCATCCCAGGTGGTGTTGGATGTTGGAGAGAGGGCATGCCAGCAGCTGTGGAAGCAGGAGGAGGAGTTGGGTGCAACGGTGATTGTGTCACTGGTGGGCAGGGCAGCTGGCTGGCCTGGGGTGCCAGCATGTTCAAAGGATTAGGAAGAGCACCACCAGGCACCTGGCCCTAAAAGAAACAAAGTATGTTAGAACTACTTTACCCAATTAAAAACATAAGAGACTTGAAGAAATTTTAATCAGTTTCTTAATTACTTCTGCTAGTTTCATAGGGATGCTACATTTGTACAAATTCACAAAGTAAACATTTATACTATACACCATACCATGTAAAAGTTCACTCACACTAAACTGCTTCTCATACTTGGAGTTGTACAACTATAATATCTGGCTACAATATTCACGTTTACTTAGCTTACTGACTTCATGTTTTGTCACAACTACTTGTAACTTAAGACCACTGAAAAGGGTGGGGGGCTAGTGGGGTGTTGCGGGGGAGGGGAGAAGAGATTGACATGTGAAGCTATATGAATAATTAAAAAAAAAAGGTTTTCCTAGAAGGAACAGAAGAATTAAAAATTACAGGACAAAGTGGAGAACAATGAAGAGATATATATTCTAAAACTCTAACTTCTATAAAATAAGACAGAATCTTGTCAGAGAGGATGGAGCTACACAAATACTAGTTGTCTAGGCCAAATGTACCTGTGAAACGCCTGTCTGGGCTGCTGGCTGCCCCATACTGACACTGTTCACACTCATTGCCCCACTGGTTGATGGGAACTGGTTCTGTGGCAGAAACTGGTTCTGAGTGGGTGCCTGAGCCATCATGTTGTTGGCATGGGTGCTCATCATGTTTGGAGGCTGAGGCATCCGGGAAGGAGAAATGGCCATCTATAAGACAAGAATCAGAGGTGCTACAGTACAGAAGCAATAGGCTAGAGTCTTCAAGATAGATATACAATGCAATGGAAACCCAAAGCCTGACACACATAGTACACTTTGGTCTTAATGGTCAGCACTTGGTAAGGACTCCTCCATTTCTAGGCACTTTTCTTTCTTCCTCCCCCCACCCCACCCCCCCCACAGGGTTTCTCTGTGTAGCTTTGAAGCCTATCCTGGCACTTACTCTGGAGACCAGGCTGGCCTCAAACTCACAGAGATCCGCCTGCCTCTGCCTCCCGAGTGCTGGGATTAAAGGCGTGTGCCACCAACGCCTGGCATCTAGGCACTTTTCTACACTTTCTTAAGCACTCTCTTGAGTAAGTCATTGAATTGTCCTCTGAATGGCAATCAATAGCATGATATTCATTTAGATATTCATTTAGAATTCAATCATGCCTTTAGTCAGTTGAAGGCTATTTCAGGAGGGCAAACTCAAGTCAACAGACACTGACAATATGAGCTGTTGGTTTCCTGTTCCACCCTTGACATCAATCCTCATTATAGCAACAGTTTTGTTTGCTTGTTTAAGAGAAACAAAGGAAATAAAACATAGCTCAAATTGAAAGCAATAAGCACCCTAGAATTCTCAGATGACCGTGGAAGATCCCTGCTCAGAGAACACTGTATTGAGCAAGGAGAAGCACTTACACCTGGAACTGAGGCCATGCTGTTCATCTGGACAGAGTGGTTCATGGGGGAGGCTGCACGAGGTCCCATTGGAGCTTGTGGCAACTGGACATTTCCAAGGGACATTGGGTTAAATGAATTCATCCCTGCAAACAGTTATGACAGTTCATTAATGAAAGCATAGACAAGAAAAAAAATACACTCAAATAAATTCTAAGACAGAACACATGGGTAACAGACAATAGAAAGGAACCTATAAGCAAATCAGAGCAGATGGTAATAGCCTTCCCATATCTGATGGGAGCAGTGGGTGGGAAGGTCGGGAGAGCTAGGGAATAGATGATGACATGAGGACAGGTTGGAACAAACCAAACTAATGTGTGTAAAGCATGGAAGCAGACAAGGAGGCCTTGTGAAGGAATGAGGTTGCCCCATCTACACAGGAGATATTTCCTAAGACTACCTGAGTGCACCCCCACTTAACAACCCTAGCAGCAATTAGCTCACATTATTCCAGGCTTCCAAGCGTCTTGGCTACGTAGATACTATTGTTAGAATCTGTGCTAAGACTCAAATGAGCATCTCAATTTTGCAAGTAGCTTCAGTAGTAAGTGCCCAAAGGCTACCCTCAGCCTCCACTTGTTTGCTGAAACACACCAATAACAAAGGCTCTGTTGGGAAGTATCTTTCAGATTACAGGGACTAGTTCATAGTAACTTTCTATAAACTAAGCAAATTGTGGGCTCTAAAAAAATCAAGTTGTTCTTCTATCCAACACTGTAATATAAAAGAATTCTTTAAAGTTTTTGAGAGACCTTGCCTCACCATTGCTATATTCACAAGAGGATCTTCTTATACTTTCAGTGACTGTCCAAAACTGCCACCTTCAAATGGCCAAATTCCAATAAGGCCCAAGTGGACTTTCCAGGGAGCTTATAACATAAAAGTCTCCTCTCCATGACAATTTTGTGCAGATACTGAGAAACAGCATTGAAAGAAACCCACATTCTTAGGTACTGATATTGCCAGCAAGAAAGTCTGGCAAGTACTGACCCAGAGAATGTCTCTTACCATCTGTAGCTAACTAGTTATCTTGTCAGATCCCAGCTCAACTGTGGCTCCCTATCTAGATCAATGTCCATGTACCCATAAGCATTTAGCTACACTGCTATGGCTCAATTTTCTTAACCACTTGACTTCCTCTACCCCTCAAATCTAATACATCCAAACAAGTTCTTGGCAAGTTTATTCAGTGTCTGTTTCAGTGTTCAATAACACTGTTACAACTTCAAATCACTTACCTGTCCCTCTCAAACTGCAATGCCTTACTTTACCATCTGGATAATGTCCCCACTTTATTTCACAACTTGGAGCAATACCCTGATATTCAAGTCTCAGTATGTCAAGATCTAAAGAGCGTACAAATACCCCCTAGCCCTGAAGCCTTATCTACTCCAAATGACCACAGAATCTTGAATTGAGCGATTAATGGTTTAGACAGCTATCACTACTCCAGCCAGGCATGGAGCTATGCACACAGCCTCCTGTGGTTGATAATTACTCAGCAACTTCAATCCTGATGGCCTGAAGCAGCACTGTACCTTCTGAGTCCCCAAGTACTTGAAACCAACTGGGTTACAGACTCTCAGGCTGAATATTCAGAAAGGCCTTTTCCTTCCTAAAATATGGCTCTTTTTATAATCTCCTAATAATGTCTCCCCTGTTTGTTTTTGTTTTCTGGGGGGGGGGGGTGTTGCTAGTCCAAAATCCTATTTCTGACCTCTTTGGAAAAAGCTCCTCTAATTTCCAAATTTTAAAAAACAGGCTAACATTATTTAGTGGAATTATTTAGTGGACTATGTTCTTATCAGAAAAGAATGGAAAGTGCAAAAAAAAAAAAAAAAAAAAAAAAAAAAAAAAAAAAACAAAAGGGAAAATGGGGGATAATTTGCTAACATTGAAAGTTAAAGTAAAACACGGCTGACAATAAATACCTTGAGAAACCTGCATTCGATTCACTGGCAGAGGCAGTGGCCCATCTACAAGGGAGAAAAAATTAATTAATTGAAAGGGGGGTGGGAGTTATAAACAAGTTAAAAAAACCCAATAACTTAGCAGCAAAGCCTTTAAGAGGCCTTCCTATACCAAGCAGTGGTAGCACACACCTTTTAATACCAGCACTTGAGAGGCAGAGGTAGGTAGATCTCTAAATTCAAAGCCAGCCTGGTCTACAGAGTGAGTTCTAGGACAGTCAGTGCTCTATAGAGCAAACCTGTCTCAAACAACCAAAAATGAAGAAAACAAAAAGAAATCTTCCTATGAGGGAGGCTCAATGTCCTCACAGGACACTGCCATACAGAAAGCTTCCAAAGCACAGACTTTTGGAGAACACAATTGTACATTCTTAGACATATACCCCAAAGACAGAAGGAAAACTAAGCAGGCAGGCTAAGAGCTGGTAAAAAGAAATACAGTCCTTACTTGGAGGTCTCACAGACTGAGTTGGTGGAATCACAGGGGGCTGAGCCCCAGGAGCTGGCAAAGCTGGCTGGTTACCCAAGATGCCTTGCTTATGTAAACGTGACCTCCGTTTTTCTTCTAGTTCTTTTTGTATTTTATAGATTTTCTCTGCTAATAAATGGTAGTACTCATCCTAAAAAAGCAATAATATTCAATATTAAGGAACTGAAAAATCTAAGAACCAGTCATTTATTTTTATGTTCTAACTAGCAATGAATGAACTCTTTTTATTCATTCATTTATTCACACATTCACATTTTGCTGCTGGGGATCAAACTCAGGGCCTAAGAAGGCACTATACCGCTAAGCACATTTTAAGTACATTAACAAAGGTTCGACACATTTAATAAACCAAAGAATCACCACCCCAAATTCCTAGTGATGTCAGCATACCCTTTAATTTCCACTTTACTGAACTAGTGACTTTACTAGATACGACCAGTCGAAGGTGCTAAATACAGTTGTTTATTTTTTCTGCACAAATGAGCTTTTTCTTGGGTATTCACTGATACTGGCAATAATATAATAGAAGAATCCTAAAGAATACCCACGGTGAAAAGAGATGACCCAAGGGTACATACACTTTATCTAATGCATCCTCTGTCCTCCTATGATATTTGTGCTTCATTCACAAAAGGGCTGTACAGGAATCTCATCCTTACTGGGACATGTCTGTTCAAAGTCTCAAGGTAAGGAGTCTCCTATATCACACAGATTCTCCTAATTATGGGTAAAGAACTAGACAAATATCATTTCCCACCTATAGGCTCAACAATTGCTTGACAACCTACCCTGCTGTTAGCAGACTCATACATGTCCCCCTCTACTTTCTTAGCATAGGCGACCAGGTTCTCCATTCGGCGATCCTTCAGAGCTGCAGGATCAGGAGTTGGGAAGATGGCTTGGACACTGAAAGGACAATATACTAGATCAACCTACTTTCAAAGTGGTCACAGCAGAACTCTCTTTGCCTTGTGCATGAACAATGGAAACAATACCAACCTTTAACCTACATAATAATCACAAATGTGTTATATCATTTTATGAAAAGTATGATTCCAAATCTCTATTTTGAAACTGTTCATTGTAAACAGATCAAAATAAGGAAGAATCTATAGTTGATTCACTTCAACTTAGGAGAGGTAGTTTGAAACATTACTTTCTGTATGTAAAATAACTATGTGGTCATACCATACATATTCACCAGAGCCAAATTTCCCCCAAGTTTTAGGGAACTCTATAACTAGTCCTAAGTAACTGAACACACGTGAACTCAAAAGCAAAGAGGATAGGTAGGCTTCCGGTCACGTCTCTAACTGTCTGATGCCAACATACAATAGGGCCCAGAGTCTGGGAAACTCAGCCTTCCTAGGACTCTCTACAGTGGGGATTGGTTTCTGAAACAAGCATGGACCCTTTGCAGCTAAGAGCTATAAACTGGGATTCAACATGCAAAGGAAAAAACAAAACCAAACATCTATGCACCCATAAAGATTCAACAATGCCTCAGCCACAAAATGTGAATCTGACTGATGAGGGTAACGTACAGTTTATGCACTAGATGGCTCCTCAGGTCCTGAGTCACATGTTCATGCCAGCTTTTTCGAACACCGGTGCTGGAAGGAGGTGCTGCAGTAGGTATCGTGCTGAGGCTTCCAATGTTACCAGAGTTCGAGCCATCATTCATTAGTGGACTAGAGAGGGAAATAAGAACACTTCATCCAGCTACTCAAGTGAATCAATCAAATACACTCAACCTTCTTCAACAATATGTGACTTAAAATGTTTAAGAGAAACAAGTAATGTATATCAACCAGAATTCAATCTGTTTAGTTGGTTCTGTTTTACATTTATCATTTAAAAAGAAAGAGAGGCTAGACAGACAGCTCTGCTGTTAAGAGTACTTGTTTCTCCTTCAGAGGATCAGATATCCACATCAATGGCTCGCAACAGCTGGTCACTCTAGTTCCATGGAATCCAACACCCCCTTGTGGGACTCTTTCTCCCCTCCCTCCCGCTCTTTCCTGTCTCTTTAAAAATATGAGAAAAGAAAAAATAGCATGCATTCCCATTCATTCTCTGCCACATGTGGAGTTTTGTATAATTCCCACCCATTCTTATACCCACTTGTTCTTCAGAAACGATCTATTTGAATCTTTAGTCTTACTTGGTGGCCCCCAAGGATGTTGGAAGAGCTGATTCTGAAATCAAGTTTGGTGGCTGCTGATCTGTTGTTATTCCACCTGCTGGAATACTCATGGGGTTGTTTCCTTTAAAGACAAAGAAAAATGAAATCAATCCCTACACTATACACACTTCCAAGTTCCTATAATGGCTAACCAAGTGACTACATAAAGAACTCAGATGAAGGATACCAAGATTTAGTAGGACTCTGGAAGCTACAATTTTCAATTGTTGACTAACTTCAACAAATTCCACTGTCAATTTTTCCCATTTTTACTCTACAGCCTAAATAAAATGTGTCTGGAGGTTGGCTAGTGTCCTAACTGCATATGCTACAGAGAAAATGATCACTGATCATGTGCAGTCTCCAACTTTTCTGTTTCATTAATATCAAACTCTCAACAACTACACTGACCTTTCTGGAACATACCTATGTATTGGGGTTGTTCTTACATGTCAGAAAGTAAACTAAGTTTATGGGAAAATTAGATTGCCTATAATCTTCATATTAAAGAAAAAGATGCAACTGAGAAAGATTAATAGGATTTCTCAAATTTTACCATAAAACAGAAGGAGAGTAGATAGAATTTGGGTATTAGGGTTTCAACCCATTCTCCCAGCCATTATTAATCGATAACCATTTAGGTGTTTTCCAAAAGTAACACAGAGGTGATTTTAATTGGTCTGTCTCTGCCCCGCCCCCTTTCTCTCTCTCAGCAGTGCTGGATATCAAACTTAGGGCTTCATGCACACTAAAAAACAAGTGCTCTACCACTGAGCTACATCCCTGTCCCTTAAATGACTCACTAGTGCCACCAATCACAATTTCATTGATAGCACTACCCACACTGTGAACACGTGTGGTTAAAAGAACAGAGGGAAAAAATGTTCAAAAAACTAAACCAGCCTGGCAGTGGTGGTGCACGCCTTTAGTCCAAGCAGAGGCAAGTGGATCTCTCTGAATTCTAGACCAGCCTGGTCTATAAGAGCTAGTTCCAGGACAGCCTCCAAGCCACAGAGAAACCCTGTTTCGAAAAAACAAACAAACAAACAAAACAAAACAAAAAACCAGGGAGTAACAAAAATTATGGTGATTATAAACAAATGTGTAAAGCTGGCAGACGATGGGCTAGGGTGACCAGAGGAAATACTGTTCTACCCAGCAACAGATGACTGCTTCTAGCCTGATTCTACAATGTATCTTTCAATGATGGGAGCCCCACAAACAAAAAGACATGGTGGAACCCTCCACAGTCCCTCCACAAATAAATGGTGTAGTCTTCCCAGGTTAGAGTCTCCATTCTGAGCCACAAGGATGACCTTTAATAAACTGTCAAGACAAAGTGATACACACAGAGCAAATCATTGCATTGGTTGAAAATGAAGTAAAAACAATCTTGTAGCATCTTCCCTGCAAACATACACCTCAGGTTTTCTCTGGAAGGTCATTAATCCAAAGCAATGAATCTGAAGTCAAAACATAAACCGAAGCCAGCCTTGGATTCCAGCAAGCATTGTCATCTTTACACTGGATCTGGGAGAAAGTTAGTTCTTGAGCACTCCTCCTTGACTTACCTAGGGCATTGAGAGTCCTCATCTGCTGGTGGGCTGGAGGCTGCGCTGGTTGCTGGCCAGGAACCTGAGGCTGCAGCTGTGTCTGGGGCTGGTTCATGTAGGGGAGTCCTAGAGCAGCATAGGCCCGCTGCATGGAACTGGGGTCTATAGGATTTGGGTTACTTAAAGAAGTGGCATTCTGTTGCCCTGCACCAACAGAACCAATTGTGTTTTGAATTCCACTAGCTGGAGATCCCAGGATGGCTAGAACAACAAACAGACAGACACACAAGCAAAGACAGTAAGTAAAAGGGAGATGGCCCACAAATGAACTGTAAATAACGTGAGGCAAATATGTCTTTCAAAGACTAGGAATGTAGGCAAAGCTTTAAAGCTGAGTTCATCTATTTTGTCTATCAAGAGTTAAGGAACAAAAATCTAAAGTAAATCCACCGTCTATGTTTAAAAGAAACAGAACATAAAATTGAAGAGACCACTTAGGAAAAATTAGTATATATTAAAATCTAGAGACACCTAAAGATTCATTTATTTACAAGGAGTGCCAAATGTATGACAAGGCAAAGTACATCATTCTGCATGGCTCAACAGCTACCTCTCAAGTGATGGAAGGGGCCTTCCTACAAGCTGGTGTCCCCACCTATCTCTTGGTGCTCACCTCTGTAAACTGAGAGCAATAGCAAAGATGAAACCTGGTTGGCCAATTTTTATTCAATAAATCTATGATGTGATCTTCTAAATTACAAAATGACCTATCTCTAAACTCACTTGTGTAATGACTGCATTAGCAGCAAGCCTTTCAAAAAAGACCTTCACATAGAACACTTGTCTAGCAGAGCACCATGCTAGGTTGTACTACACTTGATTTACTGATAGATCTGGCTAAAATTAACAGATGGAATGGGGCTTTAAGATTCCACATGAGCTTTAATTTATCTAGGTGCCACCTCAGTATCCCTGATATTCAGGACCTAGATGTGACTCATGTAGCTATCAGCTACCATGACCCAAGCCCAGAAGAAGTATGCAGAACAGCTGTCCCACCCTGGGAAATTAGAAGGAAAAACCACTACCTACGTAAGGAACTCATCCTAAAGGACTTCAGATGAAATGACCTAACTTGTAATGCTCATTTCTTGGGTCATTTCAAGTCTAACCCAGATACCCATTCACACAATCCATACATTTGGTGAATTTTCTATTGCATAGGTTTTCTGTCACACTATTTATTATTATATTTAAGAAGTACTTTCTTTTAAACTTGTACAAAGATTAGATCATGTAAGAAGTATAAAATCATAAAGACATGCATTATATATTAAGCTTATAAAGTTGATGTTTTATGACATATGAAACATTCACAAAGCATTTCTTTCAACTAGTAATATTACAACTCACATCTATGTGAGTATAATATACAACTGAAATGCTTATCAGAGCAATTTAATTAAACTGAAATGTGTAAAAAAAAAATTGGTAATTACCCATTCCATACTATTAACTTTTCCAATAAGGACAGTCAGATCTCAAATTCATTAACACTCATTAGATACAATTAAACACAGCAAACATCTCATCATTATAAAATACATTTCCCAAGGTACACCTTGACAAGACTGTATTTGAAATTGTCAAGTATAATACCTTTAAAAGTATATTAAATATTTAATAGTCCCTGAAACTATAAGTCATGTACCCATCATATTTCTTCAATTAGCATGGTAATTTTTCAGTTATTACAGAGAAAAAGAAAATAATCACCCAGTGTTTCTGTGTATGATCAAATTTACAGGCTTCTCTAGTATTTTTATTCTCCTTCTCTTTTTCCTTTCTTCACCCTCCCCACCTCTCTCTCCTCTCGTATCTTCTCACATACATTACTCAAGTGTTCATCCCCAACCCAGAACAGATTACTTTCCTCTCACCTTAGACATAAGAAAGAACAAACAGTGAGTGAAGTATCCAGGATCTGAAGAAACAGTGTGTGTACATTGCCTTTCTTTCTAGGTGAAGATGCAATGGCTGTGCTTTAATGACTTTGTCCTACTATATACTTTCATCTGCATAACCCAAAATGTCATCATCTATTTAGACAAAATGCCCACCCTAGAATAAACACCATTCCTAAACCTAGAACCACATATGGGGTAAATAGTCTCATTCACCGGAGCCTCTCATGGGTGCTATTGATATGGCTACTCTATTTTCTGTTTATGTTGAAAACATGTTTCCTAAATATAAATATTATAATTTTGAAACAGAATATGCCTAGCAGAAAACACGGACACATTTGGAACCTGACACTTTCAACAATCCAGAACCAAGAAAAAAGAAACTACAAACAACAAACTTGACACTGAAAAACAACTCAACAGGGGATCCAAACAGTGCTACTGTATGAACAGCACTAACATCTAGGGGGTATGAACTGACAGCAGAGTCATATCAAAGTGGCAACCAGTGTTCCATATCCTTCTCTAAATTCCCATGGGGCCCACTGGGTCTGTATATCTTATATCATAGTTCCAGCATTCGTACTACACCCTAGAAGGCTTCCTGATACAGTGGTTAGCGCATAGTCTATGTACTCCATGAGCTTAGACTTGATGGGAAAAACAAGAGAGCTCTAATAATCCCCCAACACACACCAAACCACAGCTTGAGACTTGAATCAGAGAAAATCTTGTTCACCTCATCCTTCCTAATCATTGCTGAAAGTTGGGACTGACTCTGTAAGGCTCGGTCTACTCTTCACCTACTCCAGCCCTCAGGCTCGGTGTACTAAAAGGGCTGAGTGGTAGAGTTTACTCTTCTACTGCCACGTGAGGCCATGTGAACTGTTACAGTATGCAGGGCAGGGGATTTGCAGCCATCTGCTCCTTGCTCCGCACTCTGAGCATTTTGAGGATGAACAAGAATGAAGAACATTACAGGGAGCAATGCTCACCTACTTGCATCCCTGACAAAGAGCCTTCTATATACAACAACTGAACATGTTATTGACGACGAACTACTTGGTCTTTTTCCTTCTAAAATTTAATGCTGTGATACACACGTCACCATCCCTTAGATGTCATATTACACCCTGAGGAGTTCCAATATGTTGGCTTTAACTATCCTAGTTTATCAGGTGGTGTACCTGAACCCAGACACATCTTTGTGGGTTTTTTTTTTTTTTTTTTTTTTTGGTTATTGGTGTTTAGGTTTGTTTGTTTGGTTTGGGGATGATGATGACTGAGTTTCACTAAGGAGCTCTGGCTGGTCTATAACTCACTATGTAGCCAGGGTGGCCTGGAGTTCATGGCAATCCTCCTGCTTCAGTTGCCTGAGTGCTGAGATTACAGGCAAGAGACATGGTATTTGGCATGTCTTTGCCTATTCTAATGCATGCTCAATTTGTTCTCTGCCTTACTACTCCTTTTTACTGTAGCTAAAGCAGGAAGTCATAGATTAACAAAAGGACAAAAAAAAAAAAAAAAAGAAGGAAAAAAACAAAAGGACAAGTTTATTGTGGGTTCTGTGTAAACCTCAACCATCGATATTTGATAGGGATAAGGCAGTCTTTCCCCTGTGAAGTATGTGTTGCTAACTTAAAACATTCAATTAACTAACAAACTTCATGCTCTAATAATAAATATGGGCTCAATTTGGAAATTCAATAAAAACTGACACAAATTAAATGTCAAACCCTATCAGAGTAGTGCAAGACAGATGACAATGCAAGATACTCTACTCATTCTTACATTACTACAGAAAAAGCCAGTGCCAGGTTCTTTCAGTTCTGTACATATCTCTGCCCAGTGGAAGGAACCAACCACCTCATCAGTCTCTCCCTGTTCACAATACAGGACACAATAATAAATAGGAAGACTAGAATGCCTAAGTTCTCAAAGGTGGCTTTCCTCAGAAGCCAAGAGACACAAGAGGGCAAGGCTAGGATAGTGAGCTCACAGCTCTCTCCCTCTGTAAAGCCATCCAGGCTCTATCTTTCCAACCCAATCCATCCCAGTGTGTTAGAGGCATCTGGAGACTACAGTGGAACTGACAGCCTGGTCAGGCAGAACCAGGAGGTGCTATATGAAAGGGCTGCCTTCAAGTCAGTGTAACAACAACAACAAAGTGTTTCAAGCAGTTCAATATGTGCCTAGAAAAGGGACAAAGAGCCACTATCCCAGGAAGTAATGCCCAAGGTAATGAGGGCACTGGAACAACAAGCTAGAGGACTGCTGTCATAGTCACTTCGATTGTTGTTCAGTGGTTCAGTCCAAGTCTGGGGCTGTCCTGAAGCACAGGTCTAAATCCCTGTAGGTTCAGGTAGAGAAGCCAGGGTCTTTCTTGGAGAACATCTCTATCCTTCCCTATAGCTCTGACACAGACCTGGCCCTTGCAGGCATCCCAAGCAGCCAGATTCAAGATTTTAATGCATACACCAAGTACTGGAAAATTTGTTAAAAATACAGACTCTAATACAAGAAGCCTAGATGGGTCAAATGTGAGTAACAAGAGACTTGTTGGTTCCAACATAGGGACTTGAGAGCACATGTCACACAGAATCTACTAGAGTCAAAGCCAGGACTGATGATTGAAAAACTCTAATAACTGAACAACTATTTCTGATAGGCAGCTAACTCATCATTATAGTTTATATAAACAGGAAAATCAAACAGGCCCCAAAACAACAAACAATATGGGTTTCATTTCAAGCAACATCATGTTAGTGACTTAGGGTAATTCTTCAAGATTCTGTCAGTAGAGACATAAATCACAGCAGTTTGAGAGTATGGAAAAGTGTGTCAACCAAGGATAGGGCACTGGTCAGTATCTGTCAGACATGTGTTCAGAAGGTAGAGCTTTGGCATACCTTATGGTAACTCCACAGAGTGAGCCTCGGAACAGCCCTATGGTCTTTAGAAACTTGCACAGCCCACCTGAGCTGCTGGCACAGGTATCTCTAAGCCCAGTGTTTAAGTCACTGTTCTATTGTGAAGAGACACCATGACCATAGTAACTCCCAAAAAGGAAACCGTTTAATTGGAGGTTTGCTTACAGTTTCAAATGTTGAGTCCATTATCCTCATGGCAGGGAGGTAGCACACATGCACAACTAGCTAAGAGTTCCACATACAGATCAGACAGGCAGCAGGAAAAGATACTGAGTCTGGCTCCAAACCTCAAAGCCTACTCCAGGGACATATACTTCCTCCAATAAGGCCATACCTACCCCAACAAAGCCACATCGCCTAATCCTTTCAAATACTGCTAATCTCTGCTGACTAAGCATTCAAATACGTGAGCCTATGAGAGCCATTGTTATTCAAGCCACCACACCCAGTCAGCTTTATTCCCAGACTGGCTATCTACTTAGATGGCTGGCTGCCATCTAAGATGTAATTACATTTTTTTTTTTTAATTTTATGTGTATTGGTGTTTTTGCCTGCATGTATGTCTGTATGAGGGAGTCAGATACCCTGGAACTGGAATTACAGACAGTTGTAAACTGCCATGTGGGGGGTGCTGGGGATTAAACCTGGATCTTCTGGAAGAGCAGCCAGTGCTCTTAACCACTGAGCCATATCCCTGGGTTGATCCTGGGTTTCATGAGCACCACTTTTCTCTATGAAGTAGTCTAAACATAATCTGATTCTCCCCATAAGGACTGCACAGAGTACTTCTTGCCTACACTTGGTCCTTTATGAGAGACCATTACCAGTTTTTAAAAATATGACAGAGCAGTAAACAGAAAAATCCCAGAAAAGTTACCACCCTAAACTAAAAGTTAAGAATGAAACTGAATTAAACTCAACAATGGTGGTTTGTTTTTGTTGTTGTTGTGTTTATTTTTCTGAGGGGACGTAGTCCATATAGTCTAAGATGGCCCAGAATTCATAATCCTCCTGCCTCAGCTTCCAGAGTACTAATGTATATATTTCAGTGAACTAGAACTCAACGTGAAGCTACTAAAGGGTTGGGTATAGAGCCAAGAGACCACACTCAAATTTGAAATGTAATTTAAGAAGCACTTTGGCTAGAGAAATGGCTCAGTAAAAGTGCTTACTGCTCAATCAACACTGACATTAAAAAAAGCCAGCTGTGATGGAGCCATGTGCCCTGGTGCTGAAGAGGCAAAGAAAGACAGATTCCAGGGGCTCACTGGATAATCAATTTAGCCAAAACCATGAGATCCAGGTTCATGAAAGACTATCTCAAAACAAACAAACAAACAAACAAAGGTAGAGTGATTACAGGAAGACACCAGATGACCTCTGGTCTCTGAAGGCTCACATATAAGCAAAAGCACCTGCAGACACATGGGCACACAAACATACAATAATTAAAAATTTAAACAACATTTAATTTTTTACAAAGTACTTTTATCCCACCATACATTAAAAAATACCAAAACTTTGTGCAGAGAAAATCTCAAGTCTCCCTGTGACTTTTTATCATCAATCCCGGGCAACACCTCATGTTATGACTAGCAAAAACACTGTGGTTTACCACTTGAGAAAGCATGCACTGAATCAATTTTCACACTTAGACAGTTATAAGATGTTAAGAAAACCAAACCACACTTTACTTTTCTCTCCCTCTTGAATAAAAACCACTAAGTATTTCTTAAGAGAGAAAAATCAAAGGTTTCATACTAGTATGTACATATTAAGCTTAAGAGATCCCATACAAGTCACACCCCTAAATTAAAAGTTAAGAATGAAATCCTAGTTCATTATTCATGGAATTAATATCATAGAAGTATAAACTCAACAATACATTTGTTGATACACCAAGAGTCTTACCCCCCCCCAGCACCCTAAAGTATAAGAAATTTCACCTCTACCATTGGGGGGAGGGGCTTACAATAAGCTGAAGGAAAACCAGACTTTATTTCACTACATGTTATCCCAAATATTTAGGTTAAGACCCAGTGTCCTAGAACTTCATTGTATATAAGAGATGTTCAAGAAAATTGTGTATTAAAAATTCAGGGGTTAAGAAGATGGCTCAGTGTGAGGACCTGCATCCAAATCCCGAGAGCCCATGTAAAGACTTGTATGGTAGCACCAATGGAATCCCAATACTCCTAAGGCAAATGGGAAGTGGAATAAGAAGAATTCCCTAGAAGGTCACAGGCCACCTAGCCTGTATAGCACAAACAAACCACAGAGACCTTGTTTCAAAACAAACTGAAAGGTGAGGATCAACATTCAAGGCTGTTCTATGACCTGCATCACAAGCTGTGGCAAGTGCCCACACTCAAACACACATGCACCCCATCCCCAAGAACAATTTAACTGATTCAAAGAAACTTAATAGTGGTGCCTCAGTAGGAGAAGATAATGCCCCAACCCTCCCCTGCTTTTTTCAATGAAGCATCCTGTGCAGTGTGAGTCAGCTTATAGGAAGTAAAGTTGGATTCATAAGAGGAGATCAAACAGCCAGCAATGGCACCCCACTCCATGGCACTCTTAATAGCCAGCCCAAAAGAAAGCAGCGCATGTTCACCAGGCAGAAGGGGACCTGTGAAGATATTCAAGAAGATATTCTAAGTGAAGAACACTTAGAACATCAGGGAGGAGTAGAGATGGTCAAAGATGAGAAAGACTGTACCATCCTGAAAGATCACTAGAGGAGGGCATGCCTCCAACTAGAGGATGACATGGACCCAAGTGCACTTCCTAGATGTCCAAATGGGGAACATATCCAAAGACTACAATTTAGCTTCTGAAATGAAAGCAAAAAGTCTTAAAACTTCCTAATGCTCTGATGTCTAAAAAGAGCAGGGATCCAGGGGCCACATGCAGTAAAGAACTGGTCACACCGAGGACTACACAGATGATTCGGAAGACAACCAAATGATGGGGATGAGCAGGATGTGTCAAACATGAGGCTGAGATTCCCAGTCTAAAAGCTCAATAAATTGTTATACCAGCTGATATGGGAACTACATAAGCAAACCTTTACCAGGCTCTTAACACTGATATAACCTAAAAGGATCTTCACCAAAAAGGTGCCCCTCTATTGCCCCTATGTCACTGTCACTGTAGGTGACCTGACATTCAAATCTTCATGCTAAGTATTTGTCAGAAAATACCAAATCTTCCTGACAGTATCTGATGGAAGTGACTTTATTGTTTTGCACTCCTTCAAGGGCGTGGCCATGGCTATCCACAAAGTTCACTGGAAGCCCATCTACCCTCTGAGCTCAGCTGCACCTATCTCACCCAGCAGGATGTGCTGGTGACCCTTGCCCACTACCTACCTACTCTCAGCATTCTCTTAAGAACAGTTTCTATTCTTATCTCCAAGCTTCTCTGCCCCCGTGCTCACTTACTTTGTTGGTTTCGCTTGTCACTGGCATTTTTCAAAGGGAGGCAAACAGGACAGTCATGTCGTGTGCAGTTCTTCCAATGAGAGATGATTTGTCGTGAAGATGCACAATGGGCAACTATGACCAGAAAAACAACGAGATGTTATTTTTCTATCCAAATCGTCACACTTCAATTACACCTAAATTATAATGCCAGATTCCATTAAAAAAAATGGTAACAAGTGTAACCATAATACAGTACAGGCAGTCCTTAACTTACAAACAGGCTGTCCAAAAGTTTGTAAGCTGACTGTCAGTAATTCCAGCCAAAAACTTCCCATAGAAGCAATGTTATGAATGATGGGTGATTAAGGTTCTGCCCACAAAACAGAACAAAAGCTACCATCCTCTGAGATACTGAGCACCTACAATGAAAGGCAGAATAGAGTTCTACATCACTACTAAAAATAAAAACATTAAATTATATTTAAGGATGAAAACAGCTAAGAACTACCACTGAAGAAACACAGAGAAGCCAATGAGAAGTCTGTAGAAATTCTGAAAGGAATCCAGGGGACTTTGTAAAGTGCTCAGAGATAGTAATTGACCCTAAAAATTTCCAGTCTTCATGTTCTGAAGTCTAACCTTCCACTGTTCTGTGTTTCCATCATGATCAGGATTATTCCATTGATTCACAATGGCACCACGGGATAGAGGGAGATCAGGGAGCTATTTCCCCGAAGGTTTATGAAGCAAGAGAAGAAAGAGTACAAGAAAGCACGGCTGTTAACAGGAAACAAGTCCTTCAGTGAAACTGGGGTGCATGGTAATATATAATAGAAACTTAAGAGAAAAAAAAAAGGAGAGCACAAGATGCATGTGGCTGACTTCCCCCCTCCTTACAGATGATGACTTGGATATCATCAGAGCAGCCTCATCAAGACAGAGGGCAGAGGAGCAAGGCAGTGGGCAACTGATAGCCTGAATCCATGAAACAACCACAAGACGGATGCTGTGGGTGCAGGGAAAGTTGTATGCCTGCCTGTGTGTATTTACTGCAACAGACAACCATAACATAGACATTAACAAGGAGTACTCAAGAAGTGACAGAGAAGTCTTTTGTGAAAGGAAGAAGAAAAAACAAACTCAGGGCACAGTCTCATGCAGGATCAGCTCAAAGCATCAGAACACTGAATCAACCTGCCTCCTCAGCAGGTGAACTTTTCAGGGACAGCTGACTGTCAGATGTGGAAGCTGTGGGAACAACATATTCTGGGTCACACCAAAAGGAGGCCAGCATCTTTGCCATGCGGGCTTCCAAACCACCAAAGCTGCTGAAAATAACAAAGGGAAATTACACCCTAACAACAGCCACTAGGTTTAGAAAAGGGCACTTACCTTGGCAGGCTTTCCCGGCCTGACAATGCGTCATGTGGTTCAAAACATTTTTCATGGTTCGACAGTGAGGGAGAGAGCAGGCCCGCACCTCTCCATTCGCTTGCTCTCGTCTCTGGCATTTGTGGGCGTGAAGCAGTAGAACCAGCTGCTGCTGTATCAGTTTGCGCTTTTCAGGATCTGCTGTGGGGCCTGTTGCAATTGCTTGTGTGGGAACAATTCCCACTGATGATTGCAACTGGGACTAAAATAAAACAAAGTAACAAAATATCTTAATAAGTTTTTAGAGTTTTGATTCACTCCAATTATTAGGAAAGCTCCTGGACAACATGACCAAAAGAACTGGGAGAGTTTTCTTTAAATCCACCAAAAACTTTGAGAAGATCCCAAATGCAAAAATCAGCTTAAGTCAGATGTAAAGCTGATTCAAGTTCACCTGAATACAATTAACATCCATTGACAACAATAACAAAAGGGCACCTGCTGTGGTCTGCAGCAACACAAACTCAACCCATCCCATCATGAGCACCATCAGTGAAAAGTCATGTGTCAGTTGACCCACAGGAGCAAAATGCTGACAGTTTTATTTGGTTCAACCCAATGAAAAAGATTGCCTTGGTGAACTGCACATAGCTAAGGATAAGAGCTGCCTTTTGTTTGATAGGTGTGTCTTTGTGGCACCTTGCATTGTTTATATTTCATCTTAGCACACTTAGAGGAGAACACAGTTTGATTTCACTGTGGTCAGTACCTTTAAAAAGGCATGATAAACTTACTGGAAACATAACATCTAGTACGTTTTAATGCTTTCTTAAGAAAGAAATATTTTGTCTCTCATTAAAATTTCCTCTCATGACATTTTCTTTTCTTTTTTTGATTTTTGGAGACAGGTTTCTTTCTCTGTGTAGCCCTGGCTATCCTGGAACTCACACTGTAAACCAGGCTGGCCTTGAACCCAGATAACCACCTGCCTCTGACTCTTGAGTGCTGTGATTAAAGGCATCTGCACCACTCATAATACTTTTTTCAAAAACAAAAACAAAAAATACTTGGCAACCTGCTACAAACTATAGAAACTGAGTTGATTTGTTTTCATCTGTCTTAAGTCTGCCCGGTAGAAATAACTCTTATATAGGTTAAATGGAAAAAGAGCCCTGTGGGGGGCTTTTTTTTTTTTTTTTTTAAACACAAATTACCAACACTCTTCACACACATACACAGATTTACCAAAAAAGAGAAATATAATGTCTATAATACATACTGTACCACCACAGATCAAAGATTTCTGGTCCTTTCTGAGTACTCTGATATTCCCAATATGAATCACTAGTTTATAGTCTCTATTTTATTTTAGATTTTTTGGTTTTTCAAGACAGGGTTTCTCTGTGTAGCTTTGGAGCCTATCCTGGCACTCGCTCTATAGTGCAGACCAGACTGCCTCGGACTCTCAGAGATTGGAATGCCTCTGCCTTCCTAGTGCTGGGATTAAAGGTGTGCCACCACCAACTGGACATACATTGGAACTGGTGAGATGGCTCACTGGTAAAAGCACTAGCTGACAAGCCTAATGGTCTGTGTTAGAACCCCAGTAACAACATGGTGGGAGGAGAGAACCAACATACAAGTTGCCCTGACCTCCATACATACAAACATAATTAAACATAAACAAAAGTTTAGTTGGGTTATTCATTTATATATGAATGCTTTGCCTTCATGTATGTCTGCACCATGTGTATGCACACTTGGTGTCTACAAAAGTCAGAAGAGTACATCGGAGTTGTGATGGTGCTAGGAATCAAATCTGCATCCTCTGCAAGAGCAACAAGTGCTCCTAACTACCTAGTCATCTCTCCAACCCCAATTTAGAATTTTTTTGTTTTAAAAAGAACCATAACCATGTATTCACAATTAGGAGGGTATGTGTTCACATGTGTGTAACGAAGCCAGGTGTTTTCCACCTTATCTAATAAACCCAAGCTGTAGTTTCAGGTAGAATGCCTGGTCAGTGAATTCCAGGGATGGTCCTGTCCACCTGGTAGCACCAGCACCAGGCTAAACATGGGTTTTTAAAATGTGGGTCCTTGGGATCTAAACTCAAGCACACATCTAGGAACTTTACTAACTGAGCCACCTCCCCAGCACTGGGCCAATTTTTACAAAGTTCCCAGGAACCGGAGGGCTGATTTAATTGCTTCTCCCAGGTTGGCGTTTATTTAATGAGCAACAGAGGGCTTCAGGTGGGCCTAGAATCTGTCAGAAGCATTTTTCAGAGTCTCTTTCAGCTTACATGTCTAGTCTCTATTGCCCAGACAGGTACCAAGAATAAAGTGAAGGTGCTGAGACAGAACTATCCCTTTAAGCACAGAGCAGGCTTTTTGTGGGGGAAGAGATCTGTCTTAGGTACAAGTACCCAAGTTCAAATGCTAAGAATCCAGGGTAGAAGAAGAGAATCGGACTTCCAGAAGTTGCCTTCTGACCTCCACACATGCATCATGAGATAGCATGAACACAACTGCATGTAACTGCACCCACACAAATAATAAAATTTTAAAAAGAATATGGCAGATTTTATGCAATTTTTCACAACAGCTTAGAAAACTTTGAAAAACAGTTGGGAGAGGACACAATAGCACTGACTGTTCTTCTAAAGGATGGAAAGGGGGTTTGAATCTTGGCACCCACATACCTGTCGTCTAACTTCAATCCCAGAGCATCAAGGCACATGCATTCATGTGCAGGTGGACGAGCGTTCATTTTTTCAAAAAATATAGGGGAGCTGGGTGTGGTGACACACACCTTTAATCCCAGCACATAAGAGGCAGAAACTGGCAGATCTCTTGTGAGTTTGAGTCCAGCCTGGTCTACATAACAAATTCCAGGACAGCCATCGAGACCCTGTCCCAAAAGGGAAGGAGGGGGAACTATATTGTCACATACTGAGAAATATTCTAGCTATAGATTTTTAACTTTTTCTTTTTACTTATGTGGGGAAAGGGCATGTGCGGAGTGCAATGCCTGTGGAGTCCAGAGGAGGGTGTTAGATCCTTGGAGATGGAGTTACAAGAGGTTGTGAGCTGCCATGTGGGTGCTAGGAACTACACGTGGTAGTTAAAGTAGAGGGTCCCAGCTGAGGGTGGGAGGACAACTTTTGATCCCAATGTTCACCACAACTCAAGCACAGTGGCTTACATCTGTAATTCCAGTGCTCAGGAGGCTGAGGCAAAAGGATTAAAGTAAGGTCAAGGCCTGCCTGAGTTACAAAGAGAGTTCCAGGGTAGCCTGAGCAGCAGAGGAAGACACTGGAAACATTACACTATATTTAAAGTACTTGAGAGGACTGGCAGATGTGGCAGCTCATTGTAATTCCTTCCTCAGAAGGCGGAGACAGGGGACCCCCAGTGCAAACTGGCTAAAAATACCGACTGCCTCAAAAAGAATTAAGTAGAGAGAGCTCAAGGAAAATTCCCTTACTGATATCAGCCTTAGTCTTCCATGGACAAGAGCACAGAATTGAGTGCACACTGGTATACCCTACACAAACATATGCATATAAACATGCACACATACTACACATGCATACATAAAGTAAAACAAAATAAAAATGTTACAAAAATGCCAATCAAACTGGGAAGTGGTGGTGCACATCTTTAATCCCAGCACTTGAGAAGCAGGGGTAGGTGGGATCTCGGTGAGTTTGAGGCCAGTCTGATCTACATAATGAATTCCAGAGACCTTTGGTCCAGTAGAGGAGGACATGGAGGAACTGGACACACATCACTGGAAAAAAACCTAAGATGCTGGGAAACTGTCTGGCTGTTCCTCAAATAACAGTATATTACTCAATAACTGCACTCCTGAGAACATATCCAAGATAATTAAAGGACATGTTCATACAAAAACATGTAAAAAGGTTCACAGGAGTATTATTTATAATAGCTAGAAAGACAAACAACCCAAGTGTTCATCAAGGGAAGAATAAAATATCGTCTATTCAAGCTGAAATATTTTTCTCACCATTAAAAAATGATACATGGTACAATATAAACTCTGAAAATCTTAACTCAATGAAAGAGGTCAGGCACAAAAAAACAAAAACAAACAAAAACAAAACAAAAAATCCCATACATACACTGTATGATTCCATTTGCTTTATGTTCATGAATGAATAGGAAAAAGAACATAGATGTAGAATTGGCTAGAACTGAGGAGGATTCCAGAGAATTGGAGAGTAGATGCTAATGGTATAGGGTTTCCTTTTGGGATGATGAGAATGTCTCAAATTGACTGAGGCCATGGTTACACAAAACCACTGATCTGAGTACTTAAAAAGAAAATAATTACATAATACATGAATTGCATCTTAACAAAGCTAGATTTTCGTTTGATTAATTTTGCTGTTTTCAGACAGGGTCTCACGTAGTATAAGGTGAGCTAATCCTGCCTTCCACATCCCAAGTGCAGGAATCATAGCTGTATCTCTCCATGCCCAACTCAATAAATCTGTTTCTAAAACTTTACTTCACTGATCAAAGTCATCAAATAAAACAGATACTTTCTACCTATCAATACGGACAATACAGAAAACAACCACCGTAGTTACTGAGGATATGTAAGAAAACTACTTTGTGTTCTGGTAAAAACACAGCTTAGAGTAATGTTTGAAAGACAAACTTCCAGACTTGGGTAAGAACATCTATCAGAGGAAAACGTGTGCATTCCTCCTGGTTGTAGTGTAAGGGTTGAGACGATGTCTGCTGTAATCCTGGCTGTTCTCTTGAATCTGCCTCTAGAATGCTGAAATTATATGAAGGTACCACCATCACCAACTGCATTTCATCTTCCCCTCCCTGTTTTCCTTTTCTTCTTAATGGTACTGGGTACTAAACCCGGGGCCTCATGAATGTTAAGTATGTGCTTCATGACTGAGTTACACCAAAAACCCAAAATATGCATTCCTTTGGCTCTGTAGGCCCACTTCTTTTAACCCACTGCTAAGAAAGTAACTTTACAAAAATGTGTTACAATTTATACATAAGATTAATTACTACCTTGATAAGTGAAAAATGTAAATGCCTGTAATAGATGGCCAAAAAACTACTGTCACAGGAGTATACTGAAAGAGTATGTAGCCATCAAAAATATGACAGACCTCAAATAACCTAGTTAAAACCAGGTGGAGTAGAATAGCTCAGTCAGCTTTGTCTAAATTTCTGATAGAGAAAAATTAGAATACAAAATTACTAT